CTGTGGCTCAGGGAGCTTGGGGCTTTGGGTTCTATTTAGGGTGTGGGGTTCAGGGTTTAAGGATGAAGGTGTGGGGTTTAGGGTTTAGGGTTCAGGGTGTGGGGTTTAGGGTTTAGGGTTTAGTGTGTGGGGTTTAAGGTTAAGGCTTTTGGAGAATTCCAGATTGTGGGTTCCTCGTGATTATGTTCTGGGTGGGAATTGTGTTTCCACAAGTAACTAACCCCACATCCCAAGTGCGAGTGTTATATTGTCCCTAGAAAATCCTTACAGAATCATGGTATAATGTGAGTCAGAACCTTCTTCTTGTTAAGCAGTTAAGGCCCCACACCGAAGCCAGCGCCTCAACCTCTGAACCCAACGTGAGCTAAACTCCTAGTATCCCTCTTTGCACCCCCTTTCTTTCTCCCCTATAGAATGTCCTTTGGTATGCCCCTTTAAGGAGTTTAGACTCTAAACCCTAAACCCTGTATAATCCCCTTTACAATCCCCTATATAAACCCCTTTAAGGAGTTTTGACTATAGCAAATAACCCTAAACCCTAAACCCTAAACCCTAAACCTCTAAACCCTAAACCCCTAAACCCCTAAACCCTAAACCCAAACCTTAACCGGAGGCAAAGTTGGCTGGTATGGAGCAGAAGGCTGGCAAGCTTGTTCAAAGCTATGGCGAGACCTGGGCCATTCCTGGAAAGGGTTTCGAGTTTGGCTTTTAATTAGGGTTTAGGGTTCCTGGAAAAGATTTGTCATTTTGCAGGCTTCGGGTTTGTGATTTGCTTGTTTGCCAGGATTTGGCTCCGAAGTCGTGCAAATGGTTTTTAGAGTTGCCGTAGGGATCCTAGGCATCGTTTGAGTTTAGAGATTGTGTTGGAGCTTGAGTTTTGATCTTAGTCTGGATGTCTATCCTACAAGGCTTGAGCTTTTCTGGGTGTAGGCTACGGTGGAAACCCTAAACCCTAAACCCTGAAGCATTAGGTTTTAGATCACGTTGACTTACCTCCGTACGCAATCTATCCCCCTCTCAACCCCTAGACCCTGAAGCCGTAAACCTTAGCCTAGCCCAAAGTCCCAGAGCCTGAGCCCTAAGCCCCGAAAACCCTAATCCCTCAGAACCTCAATACTACCCCTATATAACCCTATTATACTATAGTAGTTTCCATTTTCTTTTCCATTATCCCTATATACCCCCGATATACTATAGCCCAATATAACCTCGCCTTAACCCAAAAGCTGTGGACAACCCAGGAGAAGTATATCTCGGAAGACTCCTTGCCCCGCGATGCTCTTCTCCGGAAGAACCAGGTGAGGTTAGTGAACATGACATGTCCCAAATCCTAGTGCTAAAAACGTCCTGAGCACGATTTCGATTTTTGCTTGCTATATAAGCCACACACTAAACAGCCAAACATTTTTTTGGGGGTTAATTCAAGGGCGGATTACCATGGACAGCCTGTCGACTCTAACTAGCCCTATCGAAGAGCTATTTGGGCATTTCCAAGAGCAGTTCCCCCTCGTGCTGGGAATTTTCTTTTATGAGCTATAATCATCTAAACTCCTGAAGGGGCGTTGTATAGGGCATTTAGGGTTTAGGGTTCTAGAGGGGATTATATAGGGGACCACTATAGAGGTTATCTAGGGGGATACGAGGAGTTGAGACTACAGCTAGGAAACCTAACCGGGATCTTCAAGTGCTATAGCGGAACCTAAACCCTTTAATTTGAACCCCGAAACCCTAAACCTTAAACCCGAAACCTTGAATCCGAGACCCTTATTCCCTAAACCTTGAACCCTAAACCTTGAACCCTACACCTTAAGCTCTACACCCCTAGGTCCACTTCGAGATGTCGGAGGTTATTAACAGCTTTGAGGTCGCTGTGACGACCGACAAGTTGCCAAAGTACCGGAAGGAGTCTGGGTTGCTATTAAGGAGGTGTAAATTAAGTTGCCATAGGATGATGGGTATATGGTGAAATTGGGGTTCCTTGCTGTAGTAGCTTCATGTTCATTCATTAACAGTGACTTAGGAGACGGGTTTAAAGTTTAGATTTTAGGGGCGAATTAAGCTCTAGGCATTGGGTATAGAGGTCTGGCATGAGGTGAATGGGTTAAGATGAAGGGGTTTATGCTGAGCTTGTGCATGAACAGTTTAGGATAAGGGTTGCTTTTGATACTGAGTGTTTGCAATATTTTTGTATTCTTTGTTCCTACTCTTTCAATGCTTTTGGCGCTGACAATGACTCTTGCGACTTGCCTTCATGATTGTGGGAGAAGTTTGGCATTGTGAAAGGAGTTGCTACTTCCACCCTATGGCAGTCTCCCCATATGGCAATTGTAGTAAGCTAGTTGTGAGAAGGATCCCATGATCCTATGCATGACTGTGAGGGGGTGGAGTGGGGGGTGGTATCCAGGTCATTCCTGCACTGATACCTAAATGCAAACCCCGGAATGTTGGAGACTCAGGAGCTAATCGAGCGGCTGCAAACTGTGTTAGACTTGGCGGAGAAGAGTGGGGTGGAGTGAGGAGCACGGACACTGTGGCTGCGAGAAAAAGGTGCAACTGCTGACCATGGCTCATGCAGTGGCAGGCAGCTTGCTCGTGCTAGCTTCGTCAGTTGCATTCTTCCGTCGGCAGCATGAATCGCAAATGCTAGCACCTGAATCCTGGAGCCTCAGCCCCTCGGCCCCGTGATATCATACAGTATTCCTGCAGGGTATCCTTGTTTCAATGGGACAAGAATTGGCAGCCTCCTGCTTGTATGGGGGCTGCTACAGCGATACATTCCTCCACTCCTTATGCTGCCAAAGGCGCGCCGCCGTTGCGCTTCCAGCTTGCTGAGACGTTGCTGGCTTTCAGGATGCGGCAGTTGCAAAAAAGCAGCCGCCATGGTTGGGAAGCAAATAAAAGCAGAAAATCTTGCATGATGCAAGGTAGGTTTGCTGCAGGCAATATGAAAAATAGTATAAATATTATGAATACCCCGGAAGGATATTTATTTATCATCGATAAAAGATATATGATATATGGTAGTGATTTCATTATATCTACTAGTAGAAGTTCGTAGATAGACCATATTTATCATATCATAGAGAAATCATGAGAAATCTCTATGCACCTCTATATTACAGCGCGGCCACTTGCGGTCATTTCGCTCGCGCGCGGCCTAGCTTTGCCGGCTCACCTTTAAAATGCCTCCTACGGGCTCCCTAGGGGCTCTAAAAACTCGGATATTTTAAAGCCCTTCGGAAAAGCTAGAGGCTCTAAAAAATATCCGAGATTTGTGGTGCGGGCGGCGCGACCAAAATCGTCCGGCCCTTGCTTCCACAACGGTTTTGCGCGTGATTTATCTCTCTTTGGCGCGGTTGCTTTGCGGAACGGGTAGACCCGGGATAGAGAACCAAAATCTTTTAGAATTTATAGGCTAAACAATGATGACCATATTGATCCGAATTTTGAGGGCATCGTAAATACGCCTCATTAGCATCGAATAAAGGCAAATCAAGTCGTATGGCTACTGAATCTGAAAATATAACGTTGGAAAGATAATTATCGAAAGTATGATTTGGGGCTTAGCGACCCTAGCCATTAACCCAATATCTCGTATAATATTGAACGCACAATTGATTTCGGGGAGGCAATAATCCCTGAAAATCTCTGTGGGACGCTGTTTCGACTTGGGATACGAGATGCCGCAGGCTCCTAACCAACCCCCTAATAGTGCTGTAGATGCCGAATTGGCTGAGCTCTTTGGATACGATATCTGAGATATTCGCGAAGACCGTCATTTACAAGCGTCGGATGGTCACGCTGGGAATACGGGACAGGGATTTTTTTGTCTGATTGAGGGATGCGCTAGAAGTCGAGGGAGGGGACCCTCTTGGAGTAAAAGAAAGATGCTTTAAGGGCTCGCATCGACTTGCATTGCATCGGGGAATTGCAGGGCCAACCGTCGGCCGAATGGTTGCGGCAGCAGCATCTGCAGGGTTGCAGGGCTTGTGGTAGGACCTTAAGTATTCGATTCGCCTCCGGCGTTCACGCCCATTACTGAATACATATTAGGATTGCGGAAGACGCCAACCCTCCCCAGACTGCACCGGAGAATCTCCCTTCCCTTCATGATATATTCATCACCCCTATTTTCCCCAAAGATCATCTTCCTACTGAATTGTGGCCTCAGATACGTAGTGAATATGCGAGATTGCTTGCGGCTGTTGTCTCTTCTAATCGTCGGGATGCTTGGGATGATGCCCCGGCCGCGGTAGACCGCGATATTCCCAGCGAAAAATGCGGCGAAACAACGGGCTCGCAGAGCCTGGACTGAGCTGCTCATGCTCCCTAAATCGGTCTGTAGGCAGAATAAGCGGGGGCAACGTCGAGGCCAAGCCATGGCCTTCATTAGAAGCTTGCTTCTTACTCGCTGGAAGATGGGGGAACTGCAGGGTCTGTGGGATGAAGCTGTCATGGCGACACGTAAGCACGGACGAAAAGGACCGAAGGATAATCATGCTGAACAATGTGAAGCGGATG